TGACGGAAGACAGGAGATGGGTACAGAAGACAGGGCCTCAACAAAATTCTTAGAAAAAATGCCTCAAAGAGGTAAATTAAAAACCAGCTCTTACCCATTTTCCATAATAGTGCACATGGTGTAGATTGCACTGTGCCCGAGATGAGTTCCTAATAGATTCCTCATCAGCTGCAATCACATAATAGAACAATCCCTGGTAAAATGGTTTGTCTTCTTTCTACGACACTTGCTGTCCACTGTCATCAACAGTATGTATTTCAATGAATCTTTCCTGTACTCTTTCACATGAGATATTACTTGAAAGTCAAAACATTGTTTTAATTCATAGCCAACTACTTCTTGCTAAGAGGATAGGCTTTTATGTAAAAAAAAATACCTCCGTAACTGTCCCATTGCACTACATATGTTTATCTTGAAGTTTTGTGACACCAATCAAAAAAGCGCCGATCAAAAAGCACCACCAAATGCGCTTCAAAAATGAAAAACCCGCCACAAGACGTTGGTTCGAGTCATCACATTGAAACCACTCATAATGTTGCATGCATGCTGCACATGGAACACGGAATGCATGCACCACTGTGACCGTGACAAACCCTGTTTTCAGGCTAGCCTAACTGCTACCGCAGACCCATTCGTGGACAGTCCAATCGCTGGCTCTCGCCGATAACCATGTGACCACAGAAAGAGTCTCCAACAGAAAACCCAAGTGAAAAAAAAATTGAAATTCTGTGTCATATCACGCTGCACACGATCGGCAGAAAGACAAAACATTGCCACACGAAGGTTCAACACTGAAATGCTTGTTTTTTATTTAATGGTAGAAAGAAATCTTTAGGTAACAAGAATAACAAGCAGAACAAGTTTAAGATTACGTATACATTTCACGCATGTGTTCGTGACTCCATTAATAACTCAAAACACACACAACTCTAATTTTATTTACGAGGTTGAGTTATCACACGGAAACGGCAATCAACGAAAACACCAGTATGGGTGTCCTGGCTGCGGCTTTCGTGACTGATTTTATCCTTCAAAGTTGGCCGTATAAGCCGCCCAGCGTATAAGCCGCAGAGACATTGTTCAGCGTGAGAATCAACGTATAAGCCACAGCTTATATTCCAAACATTACCACACTATGGCAGAAAAAGCGCTAATCTAAGTGGAGATTTCCACTTCTACGTCACCACATTAAGCAAATTTTCCCTCCAAGGTAAGCAGGCCTTATGCTGTGCTTACCGTTTATGGTCTTCATGAAATACATGTATGTGGAACCCCTGTTCACATAAAATCCTATGCTTAGCAGTCTCATAAAAATTGGGCCCTGATAGTATACATGTAGTTTCTGAAAACATAAAACCAACATGGTACAGTACCTTCCAACTGGCTTGAGCAAACTGCTGTACGCCAACGGTTCGGCACAGAGCTGTCACAAAGTTATAGAGTGCTTCAGTTGGAAGACAGCTGTAGCAAACCACAGCGTCTAGCACCTTCAATGATTGCTCAATGTCATACTCACGACCAGTACGACTGCACACTGTACAGGTATGTCTGGAAAGAAAAATGGCAGGATTTCTGCTTAGATTTTGTTGTCTAAGAATTGATGAATTGTTTACAGCATTCCAAAGAAAACTGTTCAATGGCTTAAATCTTGTTTCTGAAACTCCCAGCAAAGTAAATCTGGCTGCAATTCAATTACAGGCAAAAGCTTAAAATCAAATTCTATGACGTTTACAGGACTAAAATATGCCAATTTCCATGATGTTTTGTAGAGACAAGTTGGAGGCTGCCATAGCCACAACTCTACACTTAGGATAGCCTGTAAATTTCTCATTAATATATAATCACATTAAAAATAGCCCATCAAAATTAACCCTTGCAAGAGCTTGATTCCATCACTTTTTTTCCCTCTGACAACAGGATTCCACACTATCTTATTTCCTCTCAAATTTTCAAAGATTTTTCCAGGACTTCTTCCAGGATTTGCAGATTTTCCATGGTCTTGGAAACCCTGAACATACATGTACAGGTGGAAAACATCATTTTTTGGCAGGTAGCCTGCTTGTGTTGACTGATACATTTCTCTACCCAACACCCTTCTACATTTAGCAGTTTCAGAAAATAAACCGTCACATACTTGACAAGTCCAGACACAATGTGGTCGTCAAGGTAACAGGAGTTGAACTTGAAGACATTGACAAGAAGACCCAGAAACTCGGCTGTCCTGAGAAGATAAGAATAACATATCAATGGTTCAATGCCACATGACAATTTCAATATGCAACCATTTTTAGGTGAAGGGGAGGGTATTGAAATCTCTGCATTTGTAAACTTTTCATTAATCTCTCAGGACTAATTTTGTTTTAATTTGGGGGCATTTTCCTGACATTAATCTGAAGTTTCACCATTGGGGTACGCAAAGAATGTCACATACATGTTGTAACAAGGAACTTTATGAGCATCGATTCTATTCTACGATATTGCTCCTCCGGTTTTACATTAACAATCAAAAAGAATTTGAATTTATAATGCAAGACGAACTAACAAGACTGACATGCCATAACTGATCACATCTGGCATCCAGGCAAGCAGAAACGGACCCATATCCTCCTCAAAATGAAGCAGGTTTTTCCCATTAGCGCTTAACGACTTCAGAACATCCAATCTAAATGGACAAAAAGTACAGTTAGATTACATTAACATTTGACAAATTCAGAAATATCCCAATATTTCAAGGCAGTCCATCATTTGCAGCTATCCAACAAGTAACTGACACAGTTATTGTTGCAAAGCATATTTGGTTTAAAGATGGTTGTGGTGCACAACTCAAGTTGTCATTTTGAAGAAAGCAATGAAAGAAGGCCATTTCCAACGACGTGTCTCAAGATGTATTTTTGGAAAATAGCCATCAGAAGTGCGCAAGCGTTGACACAATACACGTGCACAGTTAACATAATTGGTCGGTTTAGTTCATCACATCATCCAATCCTGAAGCCACATGCAAATGAATGTGGACACGTGTCCCAGATGCTGAATTCCAGTGCAATTCAAAACATGACCCAGCAACTTCTGATCTGAAATCTGAACTTCATCAGATTTGTTCTTAGGCACCCTTGTTTAGATTTCAAGTGACAATGTTGCTTCAAAGGAGCATAATGTACAAATGACAAATGAAGGGCTGTACATTTAAGAAATCTAAGTATGGATGGAGATGAGAAGTTTCTCACTGAAAGACATGAACTGCAATATCAAGTTGATTTTGTTAAACTTCAAAGTTTTATCAAGAGTTACATTACACCACTTTCCATCTTCCCCTCCTTTGGTGTATGACTATGTGTTTCCTGCTTATTGTCAAACGTACCGCTGTGGCAGGTCTTCAAAGATGGAGTGCTTCTTGATGACCTCAAAGAATACGGCCCTCATAACTTCGAGCCTTTCATTCTGTTTGCAAGAGTTAAAAGTGAAAACAGGAACATTAACCCTCAGAGATCTGTACCATGCTCAATTTTTTCAAACTTGGCATGCAAGTAAACACACCCCTTTTCACTACAAATATGGCTTTTGAACTTAATCAGACATGCAGTTTTGTTCTTGAGCCCATGTGAAGTTCAAGGCAACATGCGTGCCAGCCCACTTGCATTAACAGTGAAAAAGCGTATACATTTTTGGCTGACCCATCTTGGAAAAATGGGCATTGCACAAGAACAGCATGTTCAATTTTCACAAACTTGGTGTCAAAATGACTGCAAAGAGTTACTCTAAAAACTCCTAAAGGCTCAGCCCATGAAAGACATGCACTGTGCGATATTAGAAAAAATGTTGAGGGGGTGGATTCTGTTCCACCCCAAAGCTCTTTTTAGGGTTAACTTTCAAACCGAGTACGGATTAATATAAAGCATGGCAGGGTCCAATGACCTCTAATAGCATTGAAAATGATTCTGCTACTGATAAACAGCACTTCGTCTTTGCACTTCAACTTTGAAGGGTTACTAGGCCATTGTTTCTTGCGCCATGGTGAATTTCAAAGACTATGCTATTCTAAGCACTATTTCTGCAATTTAATTTAGACACAAATAAAACAGTAGAAGTTTGCACTGTTTAATCAAAGTTGCAAGTAGTTGAAGATTTTTGCTACGATGGCAATACTTGGTCCCAGAAATAATTCTTGATGTTAAGTTTACCTGCCCAACAATGATGCATTTGATAAAAGTCAGCATGAGGTGTCTGTGTTCCACTGGTACATGAGGCTCCAGGAAATCTGACGTTGCTGCCCACAATGCCTCAATCCCATTCTAAGATTGAATAAACAAACTCTTATTTCTTTTAAGATAATAAATATAATTCAACTTTAGTGGTTTTTATCTAATACGAGCAAGAATGGCTTTCAAATTCCTGAATTGTTGTTAAAACTTTAACGTTCTCTTGTATGATTCTGGTAACAAAGTTAAGAATAACGGCAACACCGTGAGACAACTCACATCTTCCAGTCGCTTGGTTGTTACTAATTCACAGAGATCTCGGATCGCTTTAACTCGTTGGCTGGGCGGGCTGTCTCGGTGAATCTCCTGCAAAGAAACCAATCCAGAAGGAAATGTTTCACAATAATGCAAAAGGTCACTGTTACCATGGTTACAAAACAAGTAACTAGAAGCATTTCTTAATTCAGCTTAGCAAATTCAGAATTCACACTTGGAACATCATGAACACGATGAAAAACACTTAAGAACCATTACATTAGATGAAATTTTGGCCCTGGCTTCATCTCTGTAACTACTGAAGCAATGTACATGTACATGTACGTACATTAGAAATAATTATGCATAATTTAATCATCAAATACTGTTGTTCCAGTCAAATTGAAAGATAAAAATGCACCTTTAGCAGAGCAGGTGTGATGAGGAATTCCTCAGATCTCGATTCTGTTGCGACATTGGGGATAATGGCACTCTCTTTCCTACGGAAAATGCTAGCAATCCTCTGCTTGAAAGTCTCTTTGGAGGCTGGTCGTGCCATCTTGGGCTTCACTAGAGAGGCTTAAAAGGGCTGACGGACAGAAGTTGGAAAGGGAACACTGGGAAATAAAATATGGAAACATTGAGCCTGAATCAAGCATCACAGCAAGGCATTTCACTGAAATCATAACTTGGTCTGGTTTCAAATGTACATCAACAATTTGAATGTGGATGTGCATTAAAGGGTGGCAATCCATGATAAAGTTTTAAGTTTTTCAAACGTTTTTAGAGATAAAGAAGACACTGCAACTCATACATATACATGTACCTAATATCAAAACTACATCAATTAGTTAACAGTGTGCACAGTGGTACAATTTGAATGACTTTCAGTGTGAACATTTTTGAAGCTTATAACCTTCCTTTGACATTTGGCCTCAGAAAGACCTCCAGGAGTTCATTCAACAGGGTTTAAAGTTGCATAAATGTACATAGCTATACATGTACATGTCCATGTACATGTTGTTAAAAAAGTACCAAGTGAAAATACTAGTAGGTTGCAGAACTAACACAACTTAGGGAACTGAAAAATGGCGACTAAGAATAGAAACTACTGAAATCTTTAATCAATTTAAGTTATTTTATGGATCCACTTACATGTAGATACTCCTCGCTTAAAATGTAAATGAACCAGTGAAATCCATCTAAATCAAACAGTACTTTAATTCTAACAGATTTAGTCTACCATATCCCTGTTGAATTGCTAAAAACACTTGTTAATAGTTATGTTGGACAAATTAGTCAATCAATCAATCTTTGCTGTGCACATGTGTTTTATTGAGGTGTAAGGAAATAAATTAGTATCTGTGGATGTACTAGAATCTAATTTGCCATCAGCCAATTGCCTCCCTTTTTTATTCATGGTTGTGGAAGGTTGTTTCTGAAATGAGAAGTGAAATTGGAAATTTCATACAGGATCAACCAATCACACAGAGCAAGTGGGTGATTATGTAGATCAGCCGATCATGCCCAACTCTCATCCTTCCAGAGAGCTAGATGGAAATATCCAGCATTATACGCTCATGACATGGGGGAGATTCGCTACAAACAACTGGAAAGAAGGCTACAACAAAAATTGTGTTGGCTCTTTTAGAGCATTTTGCCGGGCCAATTCACAGAATATGTTCCCTTTCTGTCAAAATAATAATCAAGTTAATACTCAATAAATGGAACAAATGATCTACTCCAGGTGTAAATATATACAACTCGACCAATGAGACAACTCGACTGGCTGTGTGTCAAAAGGAGAGGCTAGTTGACCGCTGAGACAAGTCGTGCATCGAGATAGGTCATCCATTGAGACAAATTGTCTGCTCAGCAAAGTCGTCTGTTCAGACGTGTGAAATACGTCAAATTCAAACTGTTAAGTAATGGCTTCATACTAGGCCTACATGCTTTTGAAACTTTGTGCATTGTCATGTCAATTGTCCAAAATGAAAACCAAACAGGCGTCCGGATATTTGGCCAGGGCATTGCCAGAGGAAAGGATGCCATGCCGCTGCACCACCACGCCGCTGTGCCATCTGTCCCTGCGAAAGCTATGCCATCCTGCGCTAAGTCACAGTAGAGTTGCAATGTTCCCTAGTCACATGATGCTCACAATGCCAAATACATAGAATGGTTAAAATGATTAAAAGTTCAGAAGTGGTCCTCCCCTCACACCCCAATCACATCAAACACATACTGCCAGCCTTTGGTAATCTTATGGCTTGGATGCTTCAATATGTATATGAACAGATAAAATCAGAGAAAACATGTTTTCCTTAGAGGTGCTCTTGAAGCTTCAACATGTACATGCATTACAAGTTATAACTGTTGCAATCACCATTGAGGAACTTGTGTTACTACTGAATGGGATAGCGGCATCATCTTTTCATACAATAAAAAAAAGCTCTGTGGTTGGAATACAGTATTTGCACCCGCACTGCCCGCTGACCTGGACACGTCCAATTTGAATTTTATATCCTCGAGTTGGCAATTTTCGCACACCCTAGACTATCCAATCAAGTGCACTCAATTGCAAGGAATAAATTGAAGCTTTTGACAACACCTCTATCTACCAAGTATTGGTACCAACCAGAAAACGTGAAATAAATGCAGTCAGACTGCGCTAGCTCAATTGGTTGGTACCGATGACAAATGCAGCATTTCTCCGACTCATCAATTTCATCTTCACTGACTTCACCCGATTCTTCAGAAAGACAGCTCAATGTCACAGCCTTTCTTGACAATCTCACAGTCGATGTCTGTATTCCACTTGCTCTGGGCTGAGAAGAATTTAATTAGGAAGGAATCAACCACTTCTGACTTGTGTTTGGGTAATTCCAGAAATTGGGGGTCCACTTTTTCCGCGTCCCTGTCACATCTGACATACATGTATGATTTTGTAAGTTCAGAACACATTTTCTAATTTCCAAGAGTGATGAATAAATGCAAATTACCTGCCAAACAAATAGTAATAGTTTCAAAACAATTCCGGATATATTTCCATGTTAAATAACAAAGCTCGGATATAACAAGGACACAAAAATGTCACATTTTTGGACCCCTAATTTCTGGAATTAACCATTTGCCTTCTCAGATTTTATTGTTTTATGTGTCGTCTTCTGTTTTTTGGTAGACACTGATTGTTGATTTTTCTTATCTTGTGTCTTTCGTTTTGACTTTCCCTCATACATTTTCTTTCTTCCGCAGCTTTCTTCCTTTGTCCCAGTCTTTCTTCTTTCGAGGTTTCTCACTTTGAGGTTTGCAAAGAGTCTTTGCGGGAACAAACGCCGATTTATGGACGATTGTTGGATCCAGCAGGTAAATTCCTGCCTACCTAAAGGAACGTTGCAGGTTTCCTGGTGAAAGTGCCTTCTCGTAAGCCCCGCATGCCAACCTGCATATTGCAAATTTGTCAATTCCGATACAAGAGTTGGCCCGCATGTACCTGTACGGCATTGTACACCCTCTAAAAGGGTCCAAAGCAGCCAATATCCAGGGGCTGAAGTATGTGACTGGTTTATGCCGGTAGAAAGAAGAGTACGATGTTATTCTTCTTTGCCCAGTCAATCACTGTCAATGAAATGTGAGAGTTGTGGCCATCGTAAAACACCAGTACTGGCTCATCTTCACGACCTCCAATAGAGTACCTCTGAAAATGAGTTGTTAGAGTTATGAAGATACATGTATCCGAGTTGGACCAGCCGGTTTCACTCACTGTTCCATCAGCGCCAGGTAAGCTGTCATAAAGCAGCTTATGTCTCATCCTTTTGCTGCATGTCAGCCAACAATAGAGAAAGTCTCCCATGTCTTTTTTTGTTGGTTTTATTCATACAAATTTTGGGGGGGGGTTGTAAAATAAATGAAAAAATAGTATTTTTCATATTCAACAAAACAGAAACATCTACACAAATATTTCACACAGGTCTGCTTCCACAAAAAAAATTACAGCATGACTTAAACGCAGCAATGTATTCATGGCCTTTTTTTATCCTGTAAACTACATGTACATGTACCAACCATAACGTAATGTAGGCTTAGGGCTTTTGGGTTACAGCTTGCCTATACTTGGACCTACATGTAAGATTGATACAAGTTGCACTAACATGGCAACTCAAATACTAGAAATATACGACGAAAATATTTTATACATGCTCCCCAAAAATAAAAATTAGAAAGTGCAAGGTCCCTTCTGATGCTCCATATTTTTCACTCCCTCTGTTGTTAAGAAAAAATCACCTTAAAAGTGTTCGTTTGTTGTTTGGCTTGCAGAAGATGTACATGTATTTGTGACGTTTGTTGGGAATTTTTGCTATTGTCTGGGTCACTGAAATCATTGTGAAATTGTATGTTGCTGAGATTTGAAAAAAATACTAGAGTGCTCAAAGATTCAAATTACATCAGTGCACATTGTAAACCAAAAATACATGATGGGAAAGGTAGGCGAGAGGATATTAATATAACATGCACAAATTTTGATCATGAGACGATATACATGATGAATAATTCAGTATTTGGCAAGACGATGGAAAAGGTTAGACATCGCATCAACAGAAATTTGCTGAGATGTAGGCCTAGGCTGTCTCACACAGTCTAGTCAGCTAGTTGTCTCGATGTCACTCAAAGTCGAGTTGTCTAAACGAACGAGTAGCATGACTAGCTGACCAGGCAAATGGTCGAGTTGTCCCACCATGCCCACCAGTCAAGTTGTCTCAATGGTCAAGTAGGTCATGTAGGTCAAAGTCGAGTTTGCAAACGGTCAAGCTGTCCGATATCTCTACAGGCTAGTAGAGACCCCACTGATGGAGTGACTCCACCAAGCCGCAGATCATTTGTATAAGAATTCTTTCCAGATGCACTGGCAAATAAATGCAGCACAGCCTGCGTCACTCACAGTGGTGGTCCATTTGGCAGTAGTACACAGCTAAGGGTAAGCCACGGAGACGTGGCCCATCAGTGCAGTGACTTGTATTCTCTTGATAATAATCATTTATTTTAATTGATTTGATAAACAAAGCGCGCGGAACAGCATAGAATCCCAGGTGGATCTTCTCTTTTTTTTCCTTTATTTTCATATTGCTTTCGGCATACATGTACATGCAAGTCTGCCAAAATTTACCCTCTTCTGGGCAAAGCAGCCCTCAGGGGACACAAATATTGTGGTTTAAGGCTAGGTCATTTAAAAGTAGTTTGACTACAAATTGGTGACCCAGACGTGATCAATTCCTAGTCAAATTCACCATTTACTTGTCGCTGATTCAAAAGCTTTTTCTTTTGATCAATACCTACAACCCACGTCCAGTACCCTTAAGTTAGATTTCCTTATCGTTCGTGGTGTCAAGATCAGCGACCTGATTTTACCAACTCTAGCAAAATTGCAATCGTACAGTGATTTTGATGTCACTATAATGAAGTTAGCCGCTGGTATTAAGCCTAACACTCCTCCATACTTCACCTGTTGGAGGACTGAGGAGTGTTAGGGTTAACGACCTTACTGAATTGATCTCCTCTCCGCATTCAACTAAAAAGTTTTTAAAGAAATCTGATTTATCAGCAGACGTTTAACTTGCAGAATTTGGGCGTTTCAAACAACAAATTAAAGCGTGTTGGCCAACTACTGTAGTTTCTGTAGTTACTATCCCAGACTTTCTTTCACCCAAATTTCAGGCAAGAAAAGGGCTACCGTCGCCAATCTTATCTGAAGACGAATTGCACCATAACCAGACACTAAAGACGCGTTGTTAGATGAAGTCAACGCATAAATACGAGCTTTGAATACTGAAATGCAATCAGGCATTTCCATGCACACAATATCATGGCATACATCGGGGCGAAAGCCTAGCAAAAGGAAGTCGAAATCTGAACGGTACAATACCGCATTGTGTGACGATTTCTCTGGCCTTATGACGGCTTGCACACCGTCGGATCTGAAAAGGAGATGGTTTCGTGAATTGTTGTTGTCTTTTGAAGTAGATAATTGGGCTTTACTGACAGAACTAAATGCCTGAGCATCATTTGTTACACTTTTTGTATACTAGATCACACAAGGCCACAGCAATGTCATGACCGCGGGCCTACACATGGTCAGTATCAAGTTACACAATGACTTACACTGTGCTTGTTGAAGCTCGGACCCGTAAACAGGGCCCAATGAATACTCCTCCGTCGTATACTGGGCCCTGTCCCGATTTATAACATGTAGCCTATAATATTAATAGGGATTTCTTTTGAAAACTTTACCCAGGACATCCGGGGGCATAACTAAACATCCGCTTAGTTTTATGAGCTGAAATTGCACTGGTATGTTCACTACTTATGCTGTAAAAAATCAACTAGGTTGCTAGAATAGAAAATTTTAGAATTGTAGAAAACTCGCCTTTACCTTGTTTGGAGGAAAAAAAGTTGCCTTTTTCGCCATTTTCCAACTCCGTCGAATTTTCGCCTGACTCGTACATTACAGAGACTCCTTTGTGTGGTTAAGTGATGGTACCCTGTACGAGAGTCTGTCTAGTTTGTCTAGTTTGCACCCAGACTTCAGCACCTACATATCTCGTTCAGATCTGCGAGAGCACCTATCGATCTAAGTACTCGTAGAAAATATGTTTTGTGTCGCAGCTAATACGTAACGCCCTTGGCTGGTTCCCTGTCCAGTCACACACTGTTTGCGGCAAATCATTGGTAGCGTGACTCGCTCTCTTGTAAAGTGACACAAAACAGCCGCCGCTTTTGTGTAAGTGCCAAGAGGGACAAACTTCGTCCAGATTGGGAAAATGGCAAAAAGGCAACATTTTTTCCTCCAAACGAGGAAAAGGCGAGTTTTCTACAATAAGCAGCCAAGTGGATTTTTTTACAGCGTAAGTAGTGAACATACAATTTCAGCTCATAAAATTATGCCCCCGGATGTCCCGGATGAGTATTCGTCATGTTAGTGCGGCCTTGTTTACGGGTCTAGTGCGGGCTGTCAAACTCAAAGCTTTGCCCAATTTTTTTTTCGTGCACAGTCAATGGGCCTAAGTGTTCCTGAACCTAGAAGAGTAGCTAAAATTACCTTAAAAGTTTTGCAGCATGGTGGGAATTTTTGAAAATTTGCTCTTCTCATCACTCAATAACCAGACTCTGTCACGATGACTGCAACTACATGCACTCCATCCCCACACTAGGTGGCGCTGTTCAAAACTACAGGTACTTTTTGGGTTGCACACTTCGCCCAAATACGCGCCCATAGAAAACAGTGCAAAATCGGACCAAAATAGCGCTGCCTGTTGACTCTCGAGAAGAGGTTGCCCTCCGTTTTTTTTTACTGGAAATTCAAGATTATGGCCAGAAGATCACATTTTTCGTGTCAATGTCATGGGGGTTAACCACGAAAACATTTTTTATTCGCCTTTGAACAAAGATACCCCCAAAATAGCAGTAAAGCTAAGCGCTCACTTCTGAATGTAGCCGCCCGCCTCTATCCAAAATAGGTCCGCAATTTGGGGCTTTTAGGGAAATACCCCGAACTGGAAACTATCAGTCCTAAATTCGGGATTGATAGAAATATTTCTATGATGCCTCCTGATTATGGCCTGTCTTATTGTAAAAATCCGGTGGGATCACAAAATATTAATGAGCTCACGCGCAGAAATGCAACCATTTGGTGGAATGCACCCGTACCCCTTAGGTTCTATTCAATGAAATTACTACTCACAGAAGAATTTTCATCCACTCAAACCCCCCCCCCACTAATTTAACACCTATATTCATCAATTAAGGCATCAAATTAGTCCTCAACTCTTACTCTTTCCTCTAGAACAAAGAACATACCGGTAGGGGCCTAATGTAAAATCCCCTAAATTTCTCAGAAATACGAGTCAAAGAATCGTGAATGAATGTAGTAAACATGCCCTACATGTACTACGACTGCGCAAAATGCAGCGATGTTAGTCATTATAACAAAGATCGTATAGCGCCAAAGGCGCAAGATGGATAACTCTGCCCAAAAGGTGTAATTACATAAGCGCCATTTGAGCAAGCAATACGCCTGCGCAGTTTACAGTAATGCTTAGGCGCAGGCTCATCAGGTGCACTTGCCTGCCGCCGCGCCTGCGCCTTTACATTAATGTGCATTGCACAGGCGTATCGCTTGCTCAAATGGCGCTTATGTAATTACAAAGTTTTACGTCTATTCACCGTGAAGTTCGCCATCTTGCGGCTTCGCAGCGCTGTACGATTTTGGTCAATAATATTCACAATATCTAAGCAGTTAAGAGATATCGGAACAGACGGTCTGTGTCAAAACTTCTTCGGAAAATAATTAATTATTAATTACAAATATACCTGCTTATCAAAACTCAATCTAAAGACTTCAGTCAGGAGAGATGATATAAACAAAAATTTTACTCCTAAATGTGGCATTGCTACAGTCTAAATATGAAAATAATCGAATAAAAACTTTTGACCAATAGTGAGTAAAGTTAGAGAAATGGAGGCAGCCATTTTCCCTGACTCTATTTTTCTATTTTTAGGCACAGACCAACACATTGCAGTGCACAAACCAAGGTTATAATAAAATCCACGCGTTTTGAAGCAGTTTACACTCCAAAAAGTCACCAAATTCACCAGACTGCTGTTAAACATAATAAGGTAAGCTTAAGGAAGATAATTTAGGAAGAAATTTGGAAGATAATTCTGTTGAGAAAGGAAATAATCTGCATCACAAGAAAATGACGGGGCAGGGCCTAGCTAGGCCTAGGCGAGCCCCACAGTCATGACAGTGTGGCACGGAATCTCATCTCAGCGGTTACGAGCGAGACTCCGTGCCACACTATGGGGCCATGGCTAGGCCTACTTTCGCTACGATGCGATGGGGAACGTTTGAAAGGCCGGGGTCATTCAGCATCCTTGGGGAGTCACTTATGGAGAAAGGGTAGTTCAATTGTGCTGTGTTTAGGGGCGTTTGATACAAAATGTTCGGCGTAAAACATGTACCGGTACTTCTCACTATACACTTGATTATTGATAGAAAGCTCTGCTGTGCGATTTGAAGTGATTGCACTGCAATCTTAATCAGTGGAGTATTATGAATTTTTGCTGAGGGAGGACCGAAATCTACCCCTTAAACGGTTTACAGTCACTTTGCCCCATTTCCACTTTGCACATTTCCACTTTGCTGTCTGTGCTCAAGTGTGTTATAAGCCTCTCCAAAAAATGGTTGAGAGGGGAGTTCCATAAACGACATGTAGTTATTATAGAAAACTCTACCGCATTAAATAAATGTCAACTGCGTTGTCCATTATGGTGAATTAATGCATATGGTTGGACTAGCATCAGGGTTTTTTCTCATTCTTTTCAAGTTTATTTCAAAGCGACACACACAATATTCTGTTCGCCGTTCTGGTAATTGTCGATGCATCTAGGCAGCTGTGCCCGGATGATCGGATAAAGCTCGGCATGCAGGAAATTTTGTGGAAACATGCTTGCTTCAAGTGTGAGCAAGACAACCTAAAATAACCTGATGAACACAGAAACTACACCCATAGACATACTGTACATGTAATACTAAGAATTAACATGAAGAAATCTTGCAACATTGACTTTTTTCCAAGGTATGACGGATCAGGTACATGTACAGTACGGTCGCCGCGGCATGAATAGACTGTTTACCACACTCCATCACACATTCTCTTACATGGGTGCAGCACGGTGGGAACCAGCACTTTGTGCACATGGTTTTTACCAGAGCGACAACAAAACACAAAGAAAACTGTTTTTTGAACTTGCCAATATAAATTTTAGGGTCTTGCCGAAAAAAACGTTTGGGTCCGGCAGTCGGGAAATCGGAAGCATTGTTTTGGTCTTCGCAAGTTGGATTCTCTGATCATTATTTGGGTACTCAAACATCAATGTTTTTACTTGTTGCATCCATGGAGGCCCATGTCTCTGTTACTGAAGACAGAATGAACGATAATCAGTGGGGCGAAGTAGAAATGGGGTGAAGTGGAAATGGGGCGAAGTGGAAATGGGGCGAAGTGGAAATGGGGCGAAGTGGAAATGGGGCGAAGTGGAAATGGGGCGAAGTGACCTACACCCCCTTAAAAAATGTTCAGCAAGAAACACGTACGTACCAATACTGATCTCTAATTGATAGGCAGCTCTGCTCTGCGAATTGAAGTGACTGCAGAGCCATCTTAATCAGCCGGCGGAGAGTTATGAAGTTTTGGTGGGGGGAGGAACAAAATCTAACTCTGGATATTTGAGGCCACACCCCCTTGCTGTGCCCCTGTATCGAGGACTGGGAATTATGCACTGATCAGGGCTAGAGCAACATAAGATGGACCTGCACATGCATTTTAGTCAGTTGTTTTTAAGAAAGAACATCCCCCCACACAAAAAAGGGGACTCAAGCTTAACAAGTCCCCTTTCCCCCGAGCGAGGTTAATTATCCTTGTTTTCCTGAATAATCCATATCTGTTGTTTACATGACACCTGCTGCCTCAGAGATGGAGATATCTCTCAATTGGAAGTGCTCATGCCGTTGGTGTCTGGAATCATAATAGCAAACCCACATTAACAGTTGTACGTTGCTGACTCAGGGATGCATCTTGATCCTTGTCAGCAAACAAAACAATGATTAATTTATGTCCCAGCTTTGCCCTCCGTGAAATGATTTTGTCTCCCTATGAACATTTAGTCACATTGAGGCTACCTAGTAGTACCTCACTTCCTCCCCTTGCAATATCGCGTGGTGCAAACGCATTTCTACTCCCTCGACGACTGTTTTTGTGCGTGTAATTTGTTGTTCAACAACAAAAAAAACAACAACAAAATGTCTCGTCCACGTGACACACTGACCTAAGGTCACGCAAAGTCACATCCGCGAACAGTTGGTCACTCTGCATGCTCAGCTGTATCTTGGAACAATCATGTAATTTCTTCTGCAAATTGTAAACATGCTCTCATCAAACCAATGCCTTTAAGTCTTCCACATCAGCAAAAGTTGCACTGTATAAAGCTCTCATCCTTCCCATATTGAGTATGGTGTACCTGCATGGCTCCCTCAAGACAAGGAAACAGGTTGACAATTTGGAAAAGTTCAAAACCATACCACCTGGTTTATCTTTGGTCAGAAGCATGGTGCAATGAGTTACTAGCTTAGAAACTCTTGTGTCCATGGTCTGGCTTATCTTGTCGTCGTAATTATATTATTCTCTCCTTTGTCTCCAAGTGTCTGTTCAATATTTTCACTGTGATTACAATGTTTCTGTTAATTTGCACCATGTTCAGGATGTTTTGTTTCACCACCAGCAAGCTAGGACCCTATCCTTGCATTTATCTTGTTTCCATGCTTTCCCTCATCTTTGGTCAACTCTCCCTGAAGTTCCTGAACATGTGTCTGTAACAGGGAAAAATGG